TTTTGAAGGTTCTCATCCAGCCATTACAACTGATCAGAGCATCGAGTGTAATAGTGATTTGACTTAAGTGGGATTACCGAAGGCCTACGTATGTTTGAGTATGAATTATCATATTTTCTGCGCTTCCTGCAGTAATTGTGAACAATGTCAAGTGGCTGGCATATTATTGAATGCAACAGTTGGCCATCTGCAAATTAGACGTTTACCTTGCAGTACCAGAAGAACAGTTGCACAAAGATAAACGGACTCACTCTGGGGATCAAGAAGAGGTTAATATGAATTAACTAATATAACTGACAGGTACGACTACGAGTGTAACGCATTTCGTAATGAGAATTGGATTGGGCGAAGTCTGGGCTCGGCGAAAAAAACTTGGGGGTTTCCGCAGATTTGTCCTTTGTTGGAAAAAACATCAAAGTATGTTAATGCAAGTAAGCCCCTGGAAATCGATTTTTGTCGCGGTTCTATTCAGACAGGTCTGCGTATTTTGTGTGTCTCCCATTGTCATGTAGGCAAATCAACATACCGAATTTGCGCTTGCTGTTACTAGGTGTCCGAAGGTCGCGTTGTATTTGCAGGCAGTAACTGGAAACTTGTGGCTGTGCACAGCCTCCCATTGCATCGTCCATCTGCAAAGCAATGTGGGGCGACATTATGCGCGTGTCCAAAACAGCCTTTCGAACCTATGTAAGTATGCGTAGGTGCGCGGCTACTATGCAAAAAAACCCCGAGTTTAGGTCAAAGGCAGTTAAGGTAAAACACTTTCCCCGAAGTTTGTAGACGAGAGCGGGACGTTGAAATGCGTTCATAAACGATCGCATCCTGTTAACGTAAACGTAAAAAGCCGTACATAATAGCAGGAGAGGAAGTCGGGTCAATTGACATTTCGGACTGCAGCACAAACACACAAACTCAATTGGTCAAATGGTGGACCGTGTGCCCGCCAACCAGCCGTTTTCACCTAAGAGGAGGCAATGACCTTTTGAGCTGACTAGATACAGCTAGAAAACAGAGTGGATAGAGATGACCGCCTTTAATTCATGACATTGTTGTGGGTAATATTATTGTTGACATTCATAACAAACTTTATTCCCACCACCACCACCACCACC